GGCAAAGGGCCCAGCCTACCTTGCAGCTCTGCAATCTTGGTCATCGATGGATACTTCCATATAACCAGCTGATTCTGTGCAAAGCCATGGCCTGAAATGAACTCCTTGTAGTTTGTTGACCACAGGATAGAACAGACCTGAGAAGAGGCAGTAACACAGGTAAGACAAGCTGCTTGTGCTGATGCTCACCAGCCACAGCTGAGCGTGGTCCCCTCCTTTCCCATGCCTCTGGGCCTCAGGAGCCAGCAACTCTGTGTAGGTGTGCTGCCAGAAGGTGTTTGCTCCAAGCTGATAATTCATGTCTCACCTGGGAATGGGCATCCACAGAACTGAGGCAGGCGCCAGAACACACATTCCAGATGCGGATATGTCTGTCGCTAGTCCCACCTCCAGTGGCCAGAACGTTCATCTGCCACGGGCACCATGCCACAGCCTGGGAGAGAAGAGTTCATTCTACAACATGCAGGAGGCAACCTGGGCACAGCCAGTGCTGCACGTCCACCTTGCACACACCCGTGTGCCCACGGCAGCCCTGCGCTCACCTTGACAGCACCCTGGTGCTGGGTGAAGGTCTGTACAGGACTGATGTCTCCACTGCTCCCCTGGGCGCATGGCCAGACGTTCACCAGGTTGTCATTGCCACCACTGGCCAGGTAGCGGCCATCTAGAGACCACTCGAGCCCACACACCTCCTGCGTGTGGCCAGCAAGCGTGGCCACGTGATGCTCAGCCACACGGACGTCATGGTGGTGGATGTGGCCAGTCCGTGCCCCACTGTGGAGAGAAGAAAAGGCTTGCAGGGTTCAGGCTGACACATTTTCACCCAAATCCATTTCTGTGTTGTTGCAAGACTGCTGTACCTGCCACTGGATTTTATCCAGTGTTACCAGCATCACCGGTCTGTTGGTGTGAGTGAAGCAGCCACACACAGCTTCAGCACAAAGGGCAGTACAGAAGAGAGGCTTTCTCTGCACAGTCCCAACAGAACAGGCTGAGTAAGAAGCCCAAGCTAGAACAGAAACTCCTCTCTGCCATCCTTAACCCACACTACTCACAGATCTAGGGATAGGAATCTGCAATAACTGGACTCTGTCCTTGACCCACCCAGTGCTTTACCTGGAGAGGATGTAGCTGTTCCAGCTGAGGGATCCCACGCGGGCACAATGGCTGGTCATGTTTCGGAGACGCTTCTGCTGCTGAACATCCCATAGCTAGAGAGGAAAAGCAGTAAGTTCTCCAGAGGATGAACCCCAACCCCATTGCTATGCCCTAGGAACCTGGCATTCAGCCTTCTCAGTATGGGAGCAGAGAAAATTTGTATCTCATGCCTGTAGTACAGAGGATAACACCAGTTATCAGAAAACCCCCAAACCAAACTCTGCCTTGCATGCTGCAGTTGGCTGTGGACAGTTCCACCCCATACTAGGCAAGAAAAGTTGGGTGCATTGCATCCTTCCTGTGCTAGCCAAGCCTTTGTCCCCATGCCCCACAGCTCCATCAACCCTTAGACAGCACATGTGGTTTTACTGCTGCACTCACCTGGACCTCAGCATTACTTGTGCCAACAGCAAGGTAGTTTCCTTCTTTGATCCATGACAAAGAGGAAACATAAACATCTGGATGCTCTATCTGCAGCAGCTGGATAATGTCCCCAGAGACATCATTCCACAGATAAACAGAGTTGTCCAGAGCCACTGCCAGGAAGTTCCGGGAGCTCCAGTCAATGAGATTCAGATCTACAATTTGGAAGAACAACACAGGTCACACCATGCTTACCTGGAGAGCCCTGCCCTTCACCAGTGCTGATGCCAGGTCTTCCACCTGCACCAGATGTGTGTGTACACATGTGCATACACACACATAGAAGTAAAGGGCAGCTAGTCAGGTCAGGTAACCCTGACCCAAGTCACCTACACAGCACTCTGGACCACCGTTCCTAGAAGGCTACACAGGGACACTCCAGAAGTGGTCTGTGCTAGCCTGGGTACATAAAGTAATTCAAACAGCCCAGTTACACTGTCCTAGGAACTGCTCTCCAGTGCAGAATGTTCTTGATGCCCAGCACTCAACACTGCATCCTACTTACAGTAGTCATTGCGGATCTCCGGTGCATCCAGGATCCGGTCTGGCATTGAGGAAACGTATCTGCTGTTCTTCCTGCTGGATCCAGGTGTCATTTTCTGACTGTAGAGCACTTTCAGGTTATTCTGATAGCCTGTGTGCAGAGGAACAGATTTGTTGACCTGAGTTACTGTTTCCTTCCAACCTAGTGCTGCTCATCCAACTAGGAATCCCTTCCAGTGAAAATGAAGTCCTGAGAGAAGACAGACACTCAAGAGAGTGCAGTGCGCTAAGCACCTCTGGCAGTATGAACTGCTGAACCAGGGTGAGCTACGCTTTCTTCAGTTACAGAAACACTTGTTTTTTTGTATCCCATTATGTTTAGATACAGTTCAACTAGAAAGTGCGCAGCAGACAGCTTGAAGCTCTTGCAGAGTTCAGGAAGGTTTGTTGCCTCCAGTACAGCTGGCAGTCATTTCAGCTTTCCTAAATAAATTCACTATAACTGCTATGCTATCCCTCAACCTCAGAAACCCTAAGAAGGGAGACTCCAGTGTGCATAGGTCTCAGAAGCCAGATGGTCTCTCCTGTGACCACACAGGACCCCTGACCAGATCTCCCCAGCTGATTAGACTCATGAACTCTGTGTCATACCTTCTGGAGCGTACTGTGGCTTTCCACTGAGGCGGAGGATCTTTGCCTCTTCTACATCAAAGCCATTCAGATTCACTGCCCAGGCTTTCTGTTGCTCCTACAGGGACAAACCACTCTCAGTGTGACGCATTTGAAACACAAAGCCCACAGTGCAGTTAAAACATATACCTAAGCCCCCTTCTCCCAGAATCAGGAGGTGTACAAACAGTGCTGCAAGAGTCAGCCACAGGCAGGTCAAAGTAGTTTTACCTCAGATGTTGGCACATTGTCCTGCTCACATTTTCATACAGTGGCAAATTCAGTGTCACTGCCAGTGGGAAAAGCCACAGCCACAAGGGACCAAATGCTTCATAAACAGATTTCAGAAACACAGTGTAAAACATTCCAGAATTGCTCCCCATGTAGACATTGTCCTAGAATAGCTACCACCAGCAGTTTTACTGTGCATAGGGCCACAGCTTTGTGTTTTTGTAGCCTGCTATATTTGAAAGCCTCTTTAGCCAAAAGCTGAATTTTGCTACCAGAGGCAGCATAGGCTAGAGTAAGTGACAGGCTCTACAGCTTCCATTGCATGCCAGGCTCCTGAAGCCCAGAGCTGGAAGTAGTCATGGCTGGGTCTTGTCAGCCACACGTGCCCACTGCATAGAAACTACAGTATACTTTTCTGTAAATGGGCAGGAAGGATTAAGTGTTTGGAAGTGCTTGTTGAAGTAACTGTGCCTTAGCAACATGCTTACCTTCTTGGTAGGAGATTCCTCAGCAGGGTCATTCTCTTTGGTTAGGAGGAAACTTGCCATATCCATCTGCATAGTGCTGCGGTTGGGAATGTAGCGATCCCCCCCAGCCCTTGTTGGTGTGCTCTGAATTTTGGATCCAGATTTCCCTGTATTTACGTACACAAATATTGTCTTACAACTATTTAACAGCCTGTATTAGAGTTTTCACGAGAGCAAACCCAGCACTCTTCCACATCACACCCACCATTCAAGTCCTAGACCAGCAGGACTCTCAGACCTCGTGCCATCCAGCCACAACTGATATTTCCCCCCCTGCCCCCAAGCTCTGGTTAGGGACTGCCAGGAGACAACTTGGGTCTAGTGCAACAGTTCCAGAGATCACATATAAGGGGAGGATACAAAAACAGGTACACCAGGGAAAGCTGTCAGCAGACAGTCCTGCCCACGCTTGTCCCAACATACAGCTGTGCCAGCAAGGCTCAGCGGAGGGATCAGCAGTTCACCCATCCCTGGAGCTCAGCTGGGGAGGAGGTAGAGTGACTGCCAGAAGCCGGGCCCCTGCTGACCCGCCGGCCGCCGAGGGTACCTGGCACAGCCCACAGCCTCGTGGCTACAGGCAAGCAGCCCGGACTCGCCCACCTTGCCTCTGCCGCCACTCACCGGGTGTCTTGGACGGCGTCTTGCTGGAGCTGTGGGAGCGATTGGCCGGCTTCATGGGCGACACGCCGAGGGGGCTGGGCCCGGGGCCGCTCTCCTTGGCCTTGCGCTGCCACCGCGCCGGTGGCGCGTTCGGGATCGGTGTGTCCAGTTTGAGCAGCCCCTGCAGGTCCGCCTCGAACAGGAACTGCGCCATGGTCCTGCGGGCGGGCGGCGTCAGCTCGCTCCGACGGGCCCTCCCCACCACTGGACAAACCCCGCGGCTCTCCCCGACCGCTCCTCGGGGCCCCTTCCATCCCCCCGTTATCCCCTCCAGCCGCTCCTCGGAGCCCTTTCCATCCCCCCGTTATCCCCTCCAGCCGCTCCTCGGGGCCCCTTCCATCCCCCCGTTATCCCCTCCAGCCGCTCCTCGGAGCCCTTTCCATCCCCCCGACACCCCCTCCAGCCGCTCCTCGGGGCTCTCTCTGCTAACGGATATTCTCCCCCTCCTCCCCTCCGTTTCTCAGTGACCACTTCACCACAGCCATGCCCAGGGCAGGCTCCCCGGCCCGGCCGCTCCCTCACCGCCACCGCACCGTCGCCCTTCACCGGCCCCGCCCGCGCCGCGGTATTTTAAAGCGCGCGCGGACGCGGCCCCGGTTGGTCGCTTCAAACCCAACGGCCGCGCGCTGCCTAGCGACGGCCGCGCGCCGCAACGCCATTGGCTGAGCCGTTGGGGGCGGGTGCAGGGGGCGGGGCCATCCCGCGCAGCTGTGGCGGGGCCATCGTATCAGGGGGCGGGGCAATGGCGCACAGGGGGCGGGGCAATGGCGCACAGGGGGCGGGGCGAACGGACTTGGGGGCGGGGCGACGAAGGAGCTGCAGGCGGGTTGTTTGTGTAGGGACGCGCGTTTATGGCGGGGCGGGGGCGGTCGCGGTCGCGGCCCCCCGCGGCTCCCAGCCGCTCATGAGCAGGTAGGACTGGTTGGCGATGTCGGTGCTGGGCAGGCGGCCTCCAGCGTGCTCCGGCGGTGGGCCCGCCTCGCCCCGCGGGCCCGGCAGCACCTCCAGCAGGCAGGGCAGCACGGCCTCCTCCGGCGGCTGCTTCTCGAAGGCGCTGGCCTGGGGGGACACGGAGCCGGGGCGGTGGGGGCTGCCCTTCCAGCTGCCCTTCGAGTTGCCCCCAGGGGCCTCAGCCCCGCCCCAGCCCCTCACCTGGCCGTGCTTGCTGCTCTCCTGGAGGAAGCTGCCCAGGGCACGGTGCAGGTCAGGGACGGGCGGCCAGAGTTTCTGCTTCACGTTGCTGGGTACGGGGAAAGGGACATCGAAGGCAAACCGCAGTCTGGGGGTGCCCTGACGCCCCCGTGCAGGGTGCCCAGGCCTGGTGCTGGACCCCCCCGCCTGCCCCCGGCACAGCCCTTACCTGTAGAGGGAGGGGAAGGTGCACCGCAGCCCCAGGAGCACCGCTGTGAAGAGCAGCGGCACCACCGTAACGCTGGGGATGATCCAGCCTGCATCGGGGGAGGAACACTGGGGCTGTAGCCCTTCCCAGAGTCACCACCTCCGAGCCCTTCGCAACCCTGTCACCCTCTGCCCGATGCCCCCCATTCCCATGTCCATCTCCTGCCCCGTGTGGCTCCTCTGGCTGCAGTCCCCACCCCTGCCCTGTCCCTTACCTGCATCGGCCATGGCATCAACCACAACAGGCTCGGACCAGGCGCTCCAGCTGCCCCGGTACCACGGCCCGCCGGGCTGGGCCCGCACCTGGGCCTGGTAGCGACTGCCTGGCCGGAGGTCCAGGACTTCTTTCCTGGCTGCCCGTGGAACCTGCAGGACCTGCAGGGAGGCACGGCTGCTGTGGGACGGCCAAAGGGGTGTGGGGCCATCCTGCCTGACCCCGTGCAGGCCGTGTGTTGGCAGCAGAGGTGGGCAGGGCTGCTCGGGGTGCCCTGGCCAGGCCTTACCTTCCAGTCATGGCTGTTCTCCACGGCGTAGCGGATCTGGTAGTCCAGCTGCTCTGCCAGCACCTCCAGGGGCGGGAGCCACTGCAGGCTCAGACGGCCCTGCAATGCTGTCGCCTGCACGAGCTGCGGGGCGTCTGTGAGCACTGTTGGTGTTGGGGATGGGGATGTGTTGCTGTCATGGAGTGGGACATGGGATGCTGTGTCCCCTGAGCTGGGCATGGGCAAGGGCAGTGGCCATGGTGGCACTGGGACTCACCAGCCTGGTGCAGCCAGAAGGGCTCCTTGAAGAAGCTGAGCGTGGGCAGCATCTGGGCCTGGGTGATGTTCACCAGGACAGAGATGGCACTGCCAGCCCTGGGCTGGAAGGTGCAGGTGTGGGTGCCCTGTGCCCCCATGCTCACCTCTTTGCACTGCTGCCATGCAGCTTCCCTGTGTGAGGAGTGGGGAGCCAGTCAGTCCCACCATGGCATCCCCACAGCCAGTGCAGCCTTGCTCCTCCTGCACTTGCCTAGGAGAGCTACTGCTGCCTGTAGTCAGAGGTGCAGTGTGTCCAGGAAAGGTGTTGGAGAGGTACGAGGTTGATGGTGGTAGGGCAGGGCAGAGCAGGACATGGGCAGGTGGCACAGTGTGGGATGATGGGACACGGCAGGACTGGTGGTGCCTGGGATGTGCCTGCCTGAGTGCCACATGCCCACCATGCCTCTTACCTTGTGCCAGCCCCACTTGGAGGTGGCCGGTAGAAGAGCTGGTGGGAGCTGCGGGGCTCTGCGGGGTCCCAGGTCCACTCGCAGCGCACATTCTGCAGGTCAGGGGTGCTGCAGCACAGCCCGATGTCTCCTGGGCAGGTGAGAGCCAGGGCGGGGAGGAGGCTGCTTCCCCTTGGCCCCCCAAAACTTGGGTGCTGCACCTCGCCTCTACCCCAGGCCCCCCACCCCTTGCAGCCCCAGGCGTGGGTGCCTCCCCGCTGTTCCTGCCAGCACGCCGGCAGAGGGGGTGGCTGCTCACCGGAGGAGTGGGGTGTCTCTGCAGCCACTGCCTGCGACCAGGGCCCCCAGACGCCATCCATGGAGGTGCCGTCGGGCTTGCTGCGCACCTGGATGTGGTACCTCAGCCCTGGCTGCAGGTCCCGGAGCACCACCCAGGTGTTGGCCTGGACCAGCCCCTGCAGGAGAGGGGCTGGACTGAGGAGCAGCTGCAGCCCCCAAATCCCCCTGCTCATCCCTGGCCTGTCTTATGTACCTGCCCCACTCCCGGGGAGGCTGTGGCTGCCCCAGCCCTGGGTGTTTGGGTGCTGATGGTTGACTGGATGGAGGGGTCCCCAGGGTGCTCCCCACTGGGGTTCCATGTGGTGCTGCAGGGCATCCCTGGGGAGCTGGCAGGGCAGCACTGCACCTCGTAGAGGAAGAAGTTTGGGTAGTCGGCGAGCGGTGGCTGCCATGACACGCAGAGCTGCCCTGCAGCCCCAGCCCAGCGGACTGTGATGTTCACTGGAGGGGCGATGAGACCTGCAAGAAAGTGCCAGCGTGTTTGCCCTCCTGCTGCAGTCCCTGCCTGGGCAACCCCTGGTCCTGCCAGGGGGCACCTGGAGGTCCCTCCAAGGCTGTCTCTGTGCCCGGCATGCAGGACACAGGGTGTTGTCAGCCCCTGTGGTGAGCAGAAGGTCAGGGCACCCAGATCTGGGGACTGTCCTGGTGTCACAGGGTATTACCCAGTAAGAGGGACTCACCCACCGCGTCCACGCTGAGCTCCCGCCGGTACTTTGTCTGGTTTGTGGTGGCATCCAGGACGCGGAGGTGGAGCTGGGTGAAGAGCCGCACGTCCTGGCTGGGGAAGACGCAGACGTGCCGCTTCCCGCCAGCCCCTTGGTGCCATGTGGAGACCACGCATGCTGTGGGCATATCCCTGAGGAATGGAGAGCGGGGTCTTGCAGCACCTCATGTGCCTCCTGCCTCGGGCCAATCTGGAGGAAAGGGGATGTGGGGCACAGCACCGAGACCTCAGTGTCACCAGCTCCTTTCTTGTGCCACCACCCACTGCAGGACACCATCCCCATGGCACTGAGGGACAGCCAATGTCCCAGCCCTGCTGCAGGGTGTGCAGTGACTGCTGTGTAGCTTCTGTGGGCTCTCCACCATCTCTCCTTGCAGCTGGGAGCCCACTGGGATGGCACAGATTGCTGTGGCACCCTGACCCTGCTGCTCTCTGTGCAGGCAAAGGGCAGGCCGGGCTGTGTCCCCACCACCTCCTACCTGCTATACCAGTAGTAGAAGTGGCACATTCCACTTGTTGCCTCCTCCTCCTCGTTCCAGAAGCAGGTGAGGTCCTCAAAGGAGCGGGAGAAACAGAGGATGTCCTCGGACACCCCTGCCAGCAGTGCAGCATCTGAGAGGAGTGCGGGCATGAAGAAGCCCCTGGGCACAAACCCATCCCCATCCCACCTGCATCCTCCTGCCCCATGCCTGCTGGCCAGCTCACCCCCGAGGCCAGGCTGTGTAGGCACCCGGGGCAGCCTGGGCATGGCTGTGGCACAGGTGCCTCTGTCAGCTTGGCACGGCGGGGAGGGATGTGGCACACATGCTGGCTGCTGGCCGGCCCTGGGGTCCTGGCTGTGTCAGGACTCCTCATCCCCCCCACGGCTCCCCCCTCCTCAGTACCGGGGGTCCTTCAGGAGAAACAAACATCCCGAAATAGCCCTGCGGTCGGAGGGGGGCTCAGGGCCCAGCGATCAGGGGGAAGCACCCCTGCCCTGCTCATGCCGGAAGGTGCACGGAAGTGAGATAAGGAGGAGCAGCACCCCAGGGAGAGGGAAAGGGCCTCGGGGCTGGCGTGGGGGCATGTGGTCCTGAGCAAATGGGGATACCCAAACCCTGGCCCAGGGACTGCAGGGGGCTGTGGGTTTCTCTGCCCCCCTCAGCAAGCCGCCCTCCCTGTAGTTGCGTGGATGAACTGGATCATCACATCCTGCAGGATTTCTGTCCCAGACACTGGTGCTTTGCTGGCCTATGGGCCCCTGCCCCTGTTGTCATGGAAAAGAGGACAGCCCCAAGATGCAGATGTGGAATGGACAGGGGTGGTCTCGCTGCCCCCAGAACTGCTCCAGCACTCCTTTCTCCCCCACTGCCTCTGTCCTGAGACCTGTCCAGCCCTCTTCCTCTTTGTCTTCCTCCTGGCCTTCCTCAGGGGCTGTCCCCAGCTATAGGACCCAACAAGCCCCCTGCCAGTACCTGGCTCTGCTCCCTGTGCTGAGTGCATCTACACTCTGCTGTGCACCCTCTACACTGCCAGTTGAGTCCACTCTGGGCCAAGAATAAGTGACAGTCCCCAAATGTCCCTGCCACCTTCTTGGTGTCCTTCTGCTCTCCCCGTCTCTGCTCTTGCCCTGACCCCCCCAGCCTTGTTCCTCATTTCCTACCCTTGTGTTGCCTTCCTCCCCCTGCCCATTGTCCCATCTACCCCACAGCCCCCCCCGTTCTTCCCTTTTTGCCCCCCATTTCCCACCCCAGGCCTCATGCTGGCTCCATGATCCCCCCCCAGCTCTGAGCACCAGGGGATAAGGTGGCCAGGTCCCAGCAGCTCAGTGACACAGGGACCCATGGCATTGGTCCTGTGGGCTACCAGAGCATCTTTGCTGCACACAGGCCATGTCCTAGGAATAGTGGCCACCCAGCTCTGCAGCCTACGCCAGCTGTGCTCGGGCACTGCTGCCAAACTCGGGCTCAGGGCATGGGGATGTCACCAAGGCTGTGGGCAGAGAGGATGAGCCCAACCCTGACCCTCCTCCCACTGTCCATATGGGGGTGACTGTAAATGTGCTCTGAAGGCCACCCTGGCCAGACACCCAGGGTGAGTCTGGAGAGATGAGCAGGAGATCAACAGGACTTTGTTTGGTTAATGCTTCTTAATGGTGTTACATACATAAAGTGTTAAAGGGGCTAAAGAGGGGCTCAGAGAAAGTGTGAGCAGCCCTGAAATGTGACAAAGTCGTGAAGTGGCTCTACCAGGTGAGCCAGACTGGAGCCAGGTTGAGGATGCTTGGCAGGGCAAGATCATGGCAAGGCTGGTGCAGGAGCACTGGGATTAGCCTGGCAGTGCCACTGCATTACTTGTGGTGCGGAGCTGAGCCGAGAGATGTTAACTCGAATTTTGCTCAAACCCTCATCGTATCATAATTACAAGAACTTTTGAGGAGCAGGGAGCCCCTCTGCTAACTGTGCGGGACTGGGAGCACCAGCCTGACATCCTCAAGAGGCCCTGGGGCTACCAGGTCCTGCTTGCAGAGAGCAGGGATGTTCCTTTACTCTGAGCACCTCAGGGTGTCCCACAGGTGAGAAGGGCACTCCACTGCCCACCCCGAACACCCCCTGCAGACCCTCCTGGGATGCCCCTTCCCAATCCTGCAGATTTTGGCTGCTGTGAGGTGCTCACTGCCCACAGCTGACATGCCAGCTCTTCTCTGGCCAATCCTTTAGGGGAGGAAATATCCCCAAGGACCTACCTTGGGATGTCACTGGCTCAGGGGTTGGCGGTGGGCTGCGGAGGCTGAGCAGGACGGCCGGGATCAGCGAGAGCAGCCAGCCCCAGCACAGGCAGGCTGCCATCCTGCAACCCCCGTGCCGGGGCCACACGTGCAGTACTCGGCCCTTCCCAGCGCCCTGGGAGCTGCTGTGGCTCCTCCAGGCGATACTTTTTATCTGGGAAGTGGTGGTTGTGCAGCTCAGGAAGCCTGGCTGGGGGCTCCCCCCACCTCATCGCCAGCACTTCCCTGTGCCCGAAACCACCACGCCGCAGCCCCTCTGCCGCCAGCCGCAGTGCCAAGGGAGACTGCTCCTATCAGATAGGCGGCATGTCCTGCCCTTGTGGCTACCGGCACGCCGGGGGGCTGGGGTAGGAAGAAAAACAACCCCGGAGAAACCAGGGAGGCCCCTGCGTGGGGCAGGGCAGGCTGTCGGGGGCTGCTGCCATGTGGGACCATGGGATGTCAGACACTGCTCTGGCTCCATCCTGTCCTGTGCCACCTGGAATCTGGTGTGCCCTGGGTCTGCTCTGCCCCCGGCCCCGTGGCTGTGCCGGGAAGAGAGCTGCAGGCACGAGGGGCGCTGGCAGAGCCCGCACAGTTGCTGGTGGTGCTGGTGCAGGAGCAGGGCCACCATGGGGGGGTCCCATAGTCACGCTCAGCCTCGTGCCAATCCACCACTGCTGCCTGGCACGGGTGACCGGAGGGTCTGCCACCCTACCAGGGCACAGCACAGTGGCACAGCCTGGGGGGCACCAGCCAGGACACAAGAAGCCACTTATACGTGTGTCCTCACCATGCCAAGGCCGGGTTGGCTTCTCCTTGCCCAGCACTGCAGGCACTGAGCAGCCGGCACCAATCTGCCACAGCCAAATTTTGTCAAATCAGCCCCACTTCCTTTTCTATTTGGCTACTGGGCTGTGCCATCAAGGAGGCAAAAAGGAGAAAGGCCTTGATGCGAGCAGGACTAATGACACTGCCTCAGACACCATTCCCAGCCGGGAGCAGAGGAGGTGCAGGGGCAGTGGCACACGTCAGGCTGTCTGTGAGGGCCAGTCCCCATCACTGGTTCACTGGGGACCTCAGGGGTGGGGCAGAGAGGCTATTCACTAACAGTTGCAGTTAACACCAAAGAGCACTGGAGGCCAGAATGGAAAATCAGAATGGTGTTGACAGGGTTCAAAGACCTTCTGGGGATAAAAGACTCTTGCCCAGAAGGGCAAGTGCAAATGCTCCTGCCTCTGGCTGGGTTACCGGGCTCTGCAGGAGCCACTCTTGCTTCTCATGGGACTGCAGAAGATGGATAGTCGGGCAGCTGGATGTCATGCCCAGGGCTGAGCAAGCTGAAGCCAAGACAGGTGAAGCCCACCCAGTGTCAGTGTAACAAACGGCAGCAGTGCAGCTGAGGGAGCACAGTCCGGGACAGGCGCTCCCGCGGGAGGGTCAGTGCAGAGCTCAGGAGATCCGTGAGGGACAGGCACAAGGGAATCACCCCTGTAACACGTGTTGTGACAGGCTGGTCGAACACAGCAGGCCCTTTGCAAGACGTGGGAAGTCACCTGCTGGCTCAGCACGGTGCTACGCAGGGTGGGAAGGCTGCGGAGCTGCACAGCCCCGCTGGGGCCAGCCAGAGGAGCAGGGCCATCCCTGTGAGGAGCAGCCAACCAAGGGGAAACTGCAGGAACAATTTTCAAGCATGCAAGAGGCAGCTGTGCAAAGGAAGGACATAGTCTGTTCTCCATATCCCTTGGGGACAGGACCAAATCTTAAATTGTGTGTGGGAGTGAAGATCTCAGTTGGATCCTAAGAAAACCCATCTCCATGGCGTGATGAGACCATGGCCTTTCCTGGGGATCATCAGAGGACTCCAGTGGGGGTAGGTTTCTGAGGAGTGCCCACCACAGCAGTAGACCACTGGGCCTCCACATCCTGTTCCACAGTGCTGTCAGCAGGGTAGAGCTGGGTCCCCCCCCCACACTCCTCTGGACTCAGGTGCCTGTTGCACGACGTTTATTGTCCATAAGGCAGAGCTGACACCTCCAAAGGGTCACTGCAGAGCTGGAGGCTGTGCACAGCCAAAGCCATTCCTTTGCACCCGCCAGGGTGGCCCCATCCCACACCATCAGGGATGCTCACAGCCCTGCTGGCACCACTTCAGGCCCAGAACACACTGAGAGTTGCAGGGCAGGCAGATGCTGGGTTGCTGCTTCCCCCTTTTGCCCCAAAGCTTGAGCATTTGTGTCCATGGGATCAGGTTCCTGAGAGCCCCTCTCCTGACCAATGTGCTGCAAGCACCGTGCTGCTGCTTGTCCTTGGGGGCCATCCCAGCATGTCCCCCAACAGCGTGGGGCTGCGTTGGTGGCTGATGCCATGGCAGTGTGGCCAGCACACGCTGCGTGGGCAGCCAGGGAGGGGATGGCAGAGTCCTGCTGCAAGGAGGGTGCTCTTGGAAGGGGCACCAGCATTTGGCCACTTGGTCCTGGATGGGGATGAGCAGCCCATTGTCCCCACAGCACTGTCCCTGCAGGCTGGTGCCAGCATCACCCCTCTGCACAGTGCCAGTGCAGCCTCACGCCTCCTCGGCAGTGGCATCGATCCCCGCATAGGTGAAGTTCTCGAACAGGGCCATGTTCACGTAGGCCTGTGGGGGAACACCAGTTAGGAGCCATTTGTGACACTGCCTCCATCTACCTCCTGTCCCCACTGGCACACTCACAGGCATTGTGCCCCGGAGGGGGGAGACAAGAGGTCTCCCCGCACCCAAAAAGTGATACTGGGGTTACCACCACATGTGGTGGGTGTCACACAGGTTCTGCCACTGGCTGGCCCCTCCTCAAGCCCAAGGGGTGCTCCAGCATGTGGACAAGCCCAGCACAGGATAGGCATCTGCCACCACTCACCTTCCTGGCCTCCAGCATGCGGATGAGCTGCATGGAGATCTGGGCGAAGGGTGGGCGCTCGTAGGGGCGGTCGCGCCAGCACTGCCGCATCAGCTCGTACCTGGGGGCAGAGAGTTGTGGGCGGCTCAGTGTGCCCGGGGGAGAGAGGAAAGAAAAGCTCTTTGTGGGAGATGGGGGTAAGCAGGTGGAAAACTAAAGCCCGGGAAGGGCGTTTGGTGTGTGAGACTCCAGTTCATCACACAATGCAGAGGGAACCAGGCAGAAGCTATTGCGAGGTGGTGGGAGCCCTGTGGGGCAGTGGGGTCAGGGGGACGTGGGTGCCACCATCAGCTGAGGCTTTGCCCACTTACACCTCGTCGTCACAGTTACGCGGCTTCTCCATGCGGTAGCCCTGGGGCAGCTTCTCGTAGAGCTCGGCACACGTCATCCCACAGTACGGTGTCCCCCCTGCAGCCAGAGACACACAGCTGAGGTGGGGATGGTTCCCAGGGTGTCCCCTCCAGGGCTCCAGGAGGACCAGACCTACAGGGACTTGAGTGGAGGCAGGGGACACAGAGAAGTCTTACCCAAGCTGACAATCTCCCAGAGCAGGACGCCGAATGACCACCTGAAAGGGCAGATGAGGCTGTGACAGTGCCCAGTCGAGCCCTGCTGATGGGCACGGGACAAAGCCCAGGGTGGAATGGACATCCAGGGCTTGGGCTGAGCCAGCAGCTCCGCAGGGAGATGCATCAGCACCACCTCCTGCTCTTGCAGCACCCAGAGCAATAGCATTGCCATGCTGACTGTGCCAGGGAGGGCAGGAGGCAGCCCCAGCCATGCCCCAGCCCTGGTGCCCCCACCTGCAGGACTTACACATCGCTCTTGGTGGTGTACACGCTGTAGTTCAGGGACTCGATGGCCATCCAGCGAACTGGCAAACGGCCCTGGGGAAGCAGAGAGAGACTGTCAGGGGTGGGGGGATGCCCTGTGGATGGAGGGCAGCTGGTCCCAGAAGGGTAGGTCCTTCACACTGGTGGTGGGTGTGCTGCCCACTATATTGGTGCAGACCCCATGGAGATGCTTTGCTCCTGCCTCACCATTGTCTTCTTTACATAGACCTCCTCCCCTCTAGAGAGGCCAAAGTCAGCAATCTTGGAGGCCAGGTTTTCTCCCACCAGGATGTTTCTCGCTGCCAGGTCCCTGTGAATGAACTGAAAGGGGCCAGCAGTCAGCAGGAGTCACATGCTCCCTCCTGCTGGCCCCAGGGACCTCATGCCCCCTTGGGGAGCCCCCAGGTGCAGGGGAAGGATGCTCTGAAGAGCTTGCTGGGGATGTACCTGCTTCTCACTCAGGTACTGCATCCCCTTGGCCACATCTGAAGCAAACTGGAGGAGCTGCTGGGAGGTGAGTGTGGAGGCAGTGCCATGCTCCTTGGCAAAGGCTGGGTCTGTCTCCAAGACTCGGCTTTTGCGGAGGAAGTCGAGGAGGTTTCCATAGGGAGCGTACTCAATGGCGATGTACAGGTAGCCTGGGGGACAGGAGGAGTTGGGCTACTGGGGCTCTCCCCAGAAAAGAGGAATAAAGAGCTGGGCAGAGGCTGTGGGGCTGGGGAGAGGGGGACAGCCCTCACCCTTGTTCTCGCAGGCACCCAGCAAGTTGATGATGTTGGGGTGATGGCCCAGTTTGCACAGCACCTCCAGCTCCCCAGCAAAGTCCCGATGGTCATTCTCTGAAGCAAACTCTGGAAGCAAAGAAGGGATGGACACCTCAGGCCTACAAGTGCCCTTCCTCTGCTTCTCTGCAAGTGACTCCTTACTCTACTCAGCACAAATATGGCTCAGGATGCACCTTCATCCCTCAGCCCATCCTGCTTGTCTCCCCCAACACTCACCTTTCAGCATCTTGATGGCTGCATTCATTTTCAGGCCGTCCTTTTTGATCATGGCCCTGATGACCTGCCCAAAGTTGCCCTCTCCGATCATGTCCTCAAACTTGATGTCTTCCCACTCCAGGATGGGGTAGCTGAGGGGCTCAGGCTGTGGCTTGGGCCGGCGTGTCAAGGTCAGGGTCCCCGAGTTGAACTGCAGGATGGTCTCTTCCCCCTGGCAGATGGGAATGGGTGAGGTTAGAGGCACCGGGCACCCCTCTGCCCATGCGGCAGTCCCGGCAGGGCAGGAGTCGTGGGCAAGGGTGGGCTCCGCACCCTTTCTGTGTGGAAGTGAGGTCTGGCTGCATCCGGACTGGAGGCTACGGAGCGTGACCTGGATTGGGCTGGGACGTGGGGAGCAGGGGACACGGTCCTGGTGGGGCAGGCGGCACTCACCGAGCCAGACTGGTACGTAAAGGTGCGGCGCCGGTGGAA